CCAATGCAATTCTCACTGTTTGGAGGGCGGTAAACCATTGCCCCAACAGGCTTGGCCTATCGACTCTGAGAGGCTCTCAACATCCAACGGGGAGAAGGGAGCTGGGCCTATGCCAACTGTACCAAAAAACCATGCAGTGTGTGCGCGGCTCAACGAAGCAAATAAAGCAAGATCCAAACACAAAGAACACATACTGGGTTTCCTACGTTATTTGGCCTCGCTAAAGGACATGTCAACTTAGATTTGCTAAGAAACCAGTGCAAAAAATAGAACGTAAAACTATCTCCCAAAAGGGCAGGTCATTCTCCATAGGGAAATTTAACAATTACTAAAGTAACATAAATGGGGTCATGACGACGGTCATGACTCATGCTATATCGTCTCGGCTCCTCGTGATCCTCGCTTGTGTCAATTGAGCACCTGTGCCTGGCCCAACGGTGGAACGGACCAGCTGAACAGCACAGTTCGCTTGGCTCTTGAATCAAAAACATGAAGTCGTCAGCCTGAGCAAACGTCTTGCAAGAAATGAGATTCGCATGTCTGCAAACTACTTTCAGACTTAGTTCCTTTGGAGTAGTTCATTCACGCCAAAAAAGGATCAACAAAGGCTCAAAAAAACAAGGCTTCCAGGCGCCTCCCACGCTTTCACCTCCAAAGCGACACCACAAGGAGTCCTGACACGTAACGGGCAACAGTCACGGGCGCCAACATGTTTGTGAGGTCTGGAGTCTGGAACTCCAAAAATGCCAGCGTTGAAAGGCAAAGTCACTGGGTTTTCTGGTTGAAATGCCTAGTCGTGGGCCCCTTCCATTCATCAACCGATTGGAACATGTAAAGCAATACGATGCATGCAAGTGATGCAAGTGATTCCGACACCATTTTCATATTGCATCGCTGTTGCATCACAAACTCAGAAAAATAGAGATCAACAACTCAACAATTCACCCCCCCCCCCCCCCCAATTTATCACATTGTTCGCTTAAATACCTTCAGCCTAACCTATCGGCTTTCGTATATAAACCAAACTTAAGTTGCCATGTCTCCCCGTGTCTCCTGCATCGGCGCGCTTCCTTTGATCTCGACGGAGGACCCTCTATCCTCATCCACCTGTGCCTTCACTGTAGCCACCCATCGAAAGTCCCCGCATTGTTTTTAAATCTGTTTTCTATCCATGAATAGACTACCAACCACAGAACCCACCAAACCTACCCAGCCACCATGCGCCCAAAACGCTCGCCACTCACCTCTCGGAAGGCTCCAAAACGCTCGCCACCCACTTGGAGGCGCTGGCCTAATCGGCTCTTGACCCAATTGGCTGTGTTTTCACAAGTCCTGGGCCGCTCTAAACCGTCCTCCAACAAGAGAGGTTTCTATATGCAAAAACGTGCAGTTCCTATACACAAAATGCACCAATCCTTAGTGATTCGATCTGATGTTCCAGGATCGTGAAAGATGCGGAGGAGCCCTTAGTCCGCACCTGTCTGGTGTGCGTAGAGTATGGCTGGTCGAACCTCAAAGTGTGCGGACGCACTGACCACGGGAGGAGGGACAGACGGGTGTTTCCCAACCACGGAAATTAAAACAGCTATATGGCTATATGCCCAGAGCGTGGTAGCTTCAGGCACAAGTAAGTGGAGGTTTCTTGGTGAACATGGATGTTCGCTATTTGTCGCGGGTTTGCCGGAACAACACACAAGGTGGATCTAAAGGCGCCAAGTACATTCAAGTGTTTACCCTTTGGTTTGGGGGCTTTGTACTGTCCAAAGTGGGATCAGCCTACCAGGTAGGCAGTTTACATCAACTGAAATTGACGCCCCGATACTGCTCCAAGAACCGTCTGAGAAGGTGTTTGGGGTAGGTTTGGAGGGTCCAGTCATTCCTTCGAAGGTACCACTGGAGCCAACATGATGTTTCCGACCCTTCATGAGCCAAGCCTATCTTGCGCCCTCCCCCTCCATGACTCACCAAGCTCGGAAGACCAACCCAACATGTAATACGAGAGGTTTACAGCATGGCTCAGTTCTCTTTCCGGTACAAACCGCATGTAAACGCAGCATCCAAACAATGTTGTTGACCTGACACTCTTCCAGTTATATTGCCATCTTGCATCTAACCTCATTGTAAACGCAGCATCCACCTATAGACCTGAAACACTACTTATTTGTCATGTCTGGAGCGAAAAAAACGCTTCTCCAGTGGCATTGGCAGTAAAAATCGTTTATCCTGGGAAAAAGAAAAAAGACTGTTTTTTCCAGGAAACGCCTCCAAATGGAAGCTTATTCGTGAAGAAGAATGGCTTGCCATGGCTTATGTCGTTTTTGGTCGATTTTTGAGCTCAGACTTACTTGGCTCATGGACTATAAATTATAATATACCACCAGCATGGGCCGGTGTCACCCCCAAACCCTCCTGAACTTGAGTCTTGTTGTTGAACATGTCCTTTTGAGCAGTGCCCGCGTATGGACCACTTGTAAAGAATGAGGGGGTAGGGTAGTAAATCCGTGTTGAGTCATTGGTTGGTGCCCATGCGAACACAAAGCCCAGATTGTGCCCTTCAGCGTGTGATTTGGGTCTCGATGTCTTAAAAGTACACTCTCAGAAAAACAGGTCTCCAAACATCTTGTGTTTTCCGGTGGTTGTCGAACGGACTTTAATGACAAAAGCCCCTCAAACCATCCAAATTTTCAGGTTCCCGTGGGGAACCCGTCTATACCCGTGGGTCAGACTGGAGAAACCGGTTCTTCAAAAAAACGCGTTCTTCCTAACCCGTGGGGAACCCGTAAAAAACCCGTCGTAGCTAGTAGGGAAGCCGTAAAAAATATGGGTTCCGGAGTATGCCATTTGATGCCATTTGAAGGTGTCCATGAGGAGAATTGATCACTCCCATGTGATGCCGGCAACGTGCCAATTCGGATTGATCTTGAAGCACTTCAGTTTCTAGGGGTGAAAGAACAAGACAAATGCTTTTGTAGACTGCTTTCAGACCACAAACACACAGTTGTTGATTCTTTCGGCACATGTGTTCATCTGAAACCTGGCATCGCTCCTTCAGAAATCAGAAAGGATCGCAGGACTTTGAAGTAGCTTTGCTTGGTGCCATGTCTAAGATGTCTATAATGACAAGCTCCCGTGTTTGGAGGAAGGCGGGTACATCAAGATATGCATAGCAAAGTTGAGAGGAATAAAAAGGGGATGATGTGTGCGTTTGCCTGGCCATGTACTTCAGACACCATGCCCTCAAAATGCACAAAATCAAGAAAACCGTTTTTCCTCAACAAACATCGTTGATTTTGAGAACTGTCATTTTTTAAGGTTCTGGGGTCTTCTGGCAGACTTTCTACAAGACCAAACAACTTAACACAGGTACCCAGTATATGCCACTTCAACACTCACCGCACGACGTGGGGGGGAAGCTGAGCCGTCCCGGCCCAATGCACTGCGGGCGTTCGCAGAAACTCAAAGGCCTTCTGGCTCCATTGCCTCTTCACCCTGGGAGTCACATTTTATAACATTCACACAGTCAGGTTGTGCTTCTATCTTCACGGAGATGGACTCGGGAAGCTTCGAGCTGAAAGCATGGATCACATGTGAATCACGTGTCAGATGAGTGAGCAACCCACTTTGTAAGCACAGCTGAAATGTCTTGAACATATTCCCCTTGTGGACGAACCTGGCATTTGACGGCCAGGAGAGCTGCAAAGGCACTTGGCTGGCTTCATGTAGCGCCTTAAAGCGTGGGACTCATGGTCTCTATTTCCAGCATTTCTATCTGCATGTGTTCAATATCAGACTTGGAAGCCCTAAACCCTATACCCCGAGACACACGAATTTAAACCACGGGGTCGAAACACTAAACTTCCAAATTCCCATTTGGAATCATTTATATATATATATAGATATATTTGGATCATTTATGAACATTTCAGGTCTCTTTAATTACTGACACCCATGAAATTTGTATTCCTGGAAATATACGTGTCCAATACGTGTTGCTTGTGTCAACAGACTCTGCAGGATACAAATCAGAAAACCCCAGAACACCGTGGGATCTCAGTGTGGCTCAAAGTAGAGACTTGATTGAAACCACAAAAGTCAGGAATGCCCTGGAAGACTCATTCTATCTCATTGTCCTCTATAAGGGGGTCATGGTCATGCTGGAGACAGGGCAGAGTTTGGGGAGATAGAGGAAGGCACAAAAATGCACTCCAACAATGGAGCCCTCGCAACCTGGCACCGCTGGCACATCCTGGCAGCCCGGCTGATTGGCACAAGACCTGCAATGACGTTGCACACGTGTCACAGTGACGTTCCAAGTCATTTGATCCCTTTAAACTGGACCCCTTTTGACCGTTTGTGGGTGCGTATAGTATACGCAAACAGCAATCGATCGGTTGACCGTCTGGACGATATGACTGTGCCTGTTCATCCTAGGCCAGCTTTCAGTTGAGAAATTCAGGATACTTCAGAGTGCCCAACTACCAGCTCCACTGGTTTGTGAAATTCACAAACTCAACTTGGTCTCCAACCGATTGAAATCATTTGACATCTTCTATCACCATGCTTGTCCGTGGCCCCAATCCCTAACAATCCAAGTATATGCCATATTTGCCAACATTAAGGGGTGATGTTGAATCTGATAGTCAATTAGGAAGACCTTCCAGTCCCATGCATGGTCTGTTGAATGCTGAGTCTTTGGGTGCACCGCATTGTTCGCGACGGAGTCGCCCCTTTTTCTTTGTGCCAGGTCGCCCGCTGCCGTGCGACGTTTTTTCACGCCCGTCGACGGCGATCGGGCTGAAGCAGAGAATTCATCGCGATCCATCCGCGTAGAAATCGCTTTTTTTTTCCCATCTTTCTGTGGGGATATTGAAGCAAAAGTATTGGTTGGCCATCTGCCATCCAGGTCTCTAAAACCTTTTGGGGGGGTGTGAGGAGCCTGGTGGTAAAGATTCGTGTCACCAGGTCACCGCACTGATCAAATTCTGTGTCTGGCATGTCAGCTACTGGTCTTCCCAATAGCTGGGGACCTTATTGAAGCAGGTGGCTGTGAAGCCACCATCTACGACTAAGATCTGCCCAGTGATGAAGCTCGCACTCTCCGAAGCTAAGAAGGCGATGGGCCGAGCAATCTCGTTCACTTGACCTCGGGTCAAACAAGCTGTTTACAATTGACTCTATCATTGTCTCCTAGTCCGGGTCTATTTTCCTTCTTCTACGGGGTCTTGGCAGATCCAAACTAACGTTTTTGGACGTGCAAATGGTTGGGAAAAAGGTGATTTCATGTGTCCCTGGCCATGATGACGCAATGGTTCTGGTATAGGAGTAATTAATGCGAATGGCGAATGGTATTGGTGGTAGTGGTGGTGGCGGCAATGGGGATGGTCATGATGGTGATGGTAAATGGTCATGCTATCGATTTACCAGTTGTTCCATGATGTTCCATGGAGTTTTGATGCACGAAACGAGAGGCCCCGAGGACACCTCTCCGGGGTGTTTCACTGACCTGGTCAGTCACTGACCTGGTCAGTTTCTGGACACTCCCTGGCCAAGTGCTCGCGGCTGACTCAGGACCGACCTGGTTATGCCTAGTGCGACAAGCTTCAGCCAGAATTCATGGTCAACTTACACTCAGCAATTAGGGCAGGGCTTACTAAGTCACAGCTGATGAACCCTTTGGACAAACTCCCAAGCATCAACTGAGATTGCTTGCACTTTGAAGAGCCCCAAAACAAGGAATTCCCGAGACAGTTAGGTAGCACAGTCAATCAAAACGGATGTCCAAAAATAACATCAAGAGGCTTCTACACCAGTAAACAAGCCATTGAAATGCAAGTCTTCCCCTTCTCATTCGGGTCCCTGCCACCTCTCCACGCTCCCACCAGAACTTCATCATTGCCGAACACTCCTCTCGGTCTGAAACAAATGCACAGCCCCAAACTCTCCAAACAAAAACCCCCCAAAAATCCGTCCGATCGAATTCCCACCCCCCCCTGTCCATTCGACCTGTCCGGCCCGAACTCCCATCCAAGTCACCCATACGACTGAGCGGTTTCCGTTCCTTAAAGTCGGCGACGTAAATGGGACTCGCTGTCTTGATCAAGGGCGTCTCAATCACTCCGGGCGCCACGGCATTGACGCGGATGCCGAAGCGGGCCCATTCCACCGCCAAATTCCTGAGGCTGACTATATGGAACAGAAGGAGTGGATTCCTTTTGGATTTGTGAGGGACTTCTGCAAAAAAGAAAAAGTAGCTGCTCAGCACTCGAACTGGCGTCCGGGTCATTTGATCCATCGCGGCTTTGGATGCCGCCTTAGTTTCACAACGAATTCCGGAAGAACCCCAATTGGAGGACTGCGGCTGGACCTTCCAGTGGTTGCATAATGTATCTGTCCTGCAGTTTGGTGAAACAACACCAATTTCACTTCTTTGTTGCCAAAGTTGGTCTGCCCAAACTGGGTCATTTTCGCCGATGGCGCCCAGGCTTGGCATAATCTTGTATGCCCAGTGTGCTTTCTGTCTTGGCGAGAAAGTGATCGCTCACATGCGCAGGGACATTTTGGATGAAGCGTTTAATAATGTCCCAACACAAGTGTGTTAAGATGTGTTGAGCATGCGCAACAAACATTCAATCCAAGTTCCTCTCGGACGTCCAGCCAAATCAATGAGCTCAAGGGTACGGTTTCCTCACGTCATCTGAATGATGTCCTCCCCCCCCAAAAAAGGCTGCCCAAACCCTCCAAGCAACCCCTTGGTCTTGATCCCGCAAAGCCTAGGGATTCATTGTTTCGACCCCACACCCCTCCATAGGTTCGGTTCTTGGGCCATTCTCTTCCTCTCTGCTTCCGTGCTGCATACGGAAAGCCGGAAGGGATATGCGTCCGCCCGGCCACGGAGCTGATATTCACCACGGCTGCACCACCTGGCTTGCCCTTCTCCGCAGCCGACTTCAGTAAAGGTAAGGCGGCTCTTGAGAGCCACATGGAGGACATGAAGTTGGTATCAAAGATTTTTCGAAACTCCTCCGGCTCGAAGTCCTCAACAAGTATTTGTTGAGCCAAAAACACATGAGTGACATGAGACTCCTATTGGAGTCCTGATACAGCGATCTTTTTGTGAAATATCTTGAGGGTGAAAGAAAAAATGACAATCAACAAACATCTTCAGCATTGTGCGACCTTCGTCCTTTCTTCACGCAGCAGTCAGACTCAGTCAGGGTTGGATTAAAAAAATACCAGCATAGACCCGAAGCAGCTTCAAAACGATTCGTTGGGACCAATATTTAGTCAAAAACGAGCCCTACCTTCCCCCAGAGCAAATCGCTAAATCAATGATTCTTGTCGGCATCGACATCGCTAATTGTTCGGCCACAAGAGAATACAAGAGAAGAGCAGGACAAGAGAAGACAAGAGGAGGACAAAACCCGGTCACAGAGCCCGGCCACAGAGTTCAGGGGCGCGGCCAGTCAGTGTGTCCAGGGCTGGTCAGTGAGGACAAGAGGAGGACAAGAGAAGGACAAGAGGAGGACAAAAAAGGACAACAGCAGGAGAAGGACAACAGGAGGACAAAACCCAAACACAAAGCGTGGCCACAAAGCCCGGCCACAGAGTCCAGGGGCGCGGCCAGTCAGTGTGGCCAGCTCTTTTTTTCTATAATGATAGAAACTTCAACAGTAAACTGTTTAGGGAGCCCAGGTCACTTCCAGAAATGCACCCAAACTGATCCGGACCGACGGAGCGGAAATCCGGTCCGAAGACGGGTACGGTGTCTCTGGACGTGGGGACCACTCCTCCGCTCGTTTGCGAATGTTGGTGCCACAGTTGTTCACCAAGATGTCCAGTTCTTTCCAGGGCAGCTTGGCCATCAAGTCCTGGAAGCGAAGATGGAAGCAAGCGGCAAAACTGGAAGCAAGCGGTTTGAGTCAGAACATGAAGAGAACCCGGAATGGTGATGGATGGAAATCTTTGCACAAGAGCCCAGCAAGGGCAAGGTGTACGTTGTTCTACAGCTTTACATTGTTTTGGTGTGCGAACTTCCTCTCACCCAAACCGCCACATCACGTCGCCTCCACACACCAACGCCCCGTGCATGGCCCCTTCGACAGTTCCTTGACGCCCTCTTCGGTCGACAGATCTGCCACGATGGCATGACAGCGCTCGGCCGCACCGCTCGACGTTCGTACCGCTTGAAGCTCAGAATCGCCCCGCGCGCAAATCGCCACCTGCCAGGGCGGCCGTGTGGCGGGGCAGCGCAGGCCGTGTCGGTTTCTGCCACATGCAGGCGTGACATGCAGGAGCCAAGTCTGTCCGAAAACTGGACCTGTGGAGCTTGAAAAACCAACAAACCCGGAGCAGCTGTCGACATCTCTCCACTATCGGCCTCCTTCGAAACACTTCAACGATCAAAAGCGATTTGTCAATCCCTCATACCCTGAGCATCATTGAACCCTTGTATGGAGGGCCAAATGGCCCTGCATAGCCTTTTCTTTCACCCCCCCCAAGCATGGTTCAAAACCCTTCCGACCCATTTAAGAGGCCTCAAGTGAACCTGTCAAGGCCTCAAACAACCTCAGTTGGACCCCGACAAACCCACAAATGGAAGAACCATTCCCTGTCCTCGGCTCCCAGCTTCAGCAACAGCTCCGCCGTGGCGCGGCCGATGCCCTTGGAGCCCCCAGTGACCAGCGCCCGGCGGCCCTGAGGATGAAGAATGAAGATGCGCCCATCCAGGACATGTGAAGGCATAGTAGCTTCTTGTTACTAGTAGCGATGCCAGGAGCCCCTAGTAGAAATCGAAGGTCGGTCCATGCTTTATGGCTGTTGGATGTTTGGATATACATCATATTGGCCGAGAGGGATCTGTGTGTCGTTGCATGTCTGAAGTTGATTTGTTGTTGATACCCAAACACTCCGTGGGACTGCCATATATGCCGCACCCCAGGCATATATTCCATACATGGAGCGTCTGGGATATAATGGATATAGACGATGGTGTTGAATTTCTCGCAACACCTCGCTCCACTTCGCTCTTATGATCTCTAGATCTTGGTCACATGGACGACCTCGCCAGCTGGAGATGGTTCCAAACGTGTTCAGCCACCCAAGAGTTGTGATAAGCATCGAAACACTCTGCTAGGACCTTCTGACAGGTGGATTATGGACACTCCGATACAAGAAATGTTATGTAACAACGACGCAATCCTTCGGCTTTTCATTCTTTGAGCTTGAAGGTTGCTTCCCAGACCAGAAGGAACCCCAGCCTCAAATGAAGCAAACGATTCCCAAACCAGCAAGAAAGAGACCTCCCTGAAACAACCAATCCACCACCAGCGATGCACTGCACCCTCTTCGAACTCCTCCCAACACCGTCCCCGCCTCCAAGCTCATGCCACTGCACTCCGCAGCTTGGGAAGCGCCGGAACCGTTCTTCTGTTCTTTCGGGGAGCGGCTGCGCGCCATCCCACTGCGGTTCGTCGTTCGGTCTAAGGCAGTTGTTGGCTGAGACCGCTGAGACAGCTACAGGTGTGTCTTCATCGGGCGATCGAGAGCGGCGATCGGTTTCTTCAAGCAAAACCCGAATCGCTGGCAGTTTCGTGGATCGAAGTGGTGAAGAACTGCCAGCGGCGATCGAAGCGGCGGTCCGGTCCTAGGTCTTTCGTCCTGACCCACTCTCAAGTGGACCGGACCAAAAGAGCAGTCCGGAGGGACTTCCGGAGGGACCCACTTCCACACACTTTGATATCCCAGACTTCTGATTGAAACAGGGTCACCGGATGAAACCGAAACCGACGTTATGTGGTACCTATCGTCGAACCTGACGTCGGTATGAATAGCACTCCCGAAAACCAGTCAGCCGGACCGGCTGGTCCAAACATGACGTCTCCAACAGCCGAGAGCACAATATCTTCAGAATGGGAGAGTTTGAGATCGGAGTCCCTACACCATCTGAGAGTTGGATACTTTGGCTGTATATATACTTATATTCGGCTGCATCAGTTACACTTGACTTGACATGTAAGGAGTCAGACTCGGACCAAATTCTTTTTCACACAAGCTTGAAAGTCTTGGTTCAAAAGTGCTTTGGTTAATGTGACCCTGTCACAGCAGCCCACGCTGCGTGCACCCCTGGTGCATACCTCTGCCAGGTATTCGTTCCCTACCGGTACCTGGTAGACTCCTTAAAATAGTCAACAGGATACTGAATGTCAGTCCTATGAGTATATTGGAGTGGAAAAGACATAAGAAAGGTGTCCAGTACCCCAAGAGTCCCCACTCTTGTACTGCCAACACAGTGACCTACAATTGCCCAGCAATGTCACTGAGGAAAATGGTATCTGGACTCATGACTAGAGTATTTAGCCAAGCCGACAGCTGCAAATGCTATGGCCTCTTGCCGACAGCAGCCATTGAAACCGATCAATTTGGTAACGTTAAAAGGAAAATGGACACCGTGGCATCCCGCAGACAGCACCAGTCCATTGGCTCATTGCCAGAGCATTTGGCCAAGCCGACAGCTGCAAGTCATGTGGCCTTCGGCAGACTGCGCCAGGGTGATGGTCGATCACATCGTACTGGAAAGAGCTACGGACCTCCTCCGTGGTACTCGGCTGGCAGCGACCACTGGAAGCCACGAAGTTTAAGCGAACTGGTTGACATAATGCCAAACTGAATCAAAATGGACGCTGGATCATCAAAATACAGTAACCCGTGGACACCCGCAGACTGCTGCCACACTCAAGGCCACGCCGTGGACGACATCACACAGGCCAAAGGTACCACTCAGATGCACTGCAAACGTGGATATTCATGCCGACAGCTGCCACAAGCGCCTGTAACCACTCGTACCGAGCACAGGGTGTGGTGGGTGGGACAAAAAATATCTTGAGAATCAGCGACACTGATTCACTTGGAGCGACACTCCTTTTTGGCTTGAGCCTCAAGCTGAAAAGGAGTGAGTGAACTGAATGACATCAAATAATTCCTCATCACCGACCCTGCCTACCTTGAATGAATGAATATATTCGGCTGCATCAGTTACACCTGACTTGACATGTAACGAGTCAGACTCGGACCAAATTCTTTTTCACACAAGCTTGAAAGTCTTGGTTCAAAAGTGCTTTGGTTAATGTGACCCTGTCACAGCAGCCCACGCTGCGTGCACCCCTGGTGCATACCTCTGCCAGGAGCGTGCTCGGCGGTGTACTCCAATACCCCCAACAGATGAGTCACCATGCCGGGCTCAAGAGGGGCCGCCTGGGACTGCCCCTGTCCCAGCCGGGTGCTCCGGACCGGAGCGGGCTTGGAGGCTTCACTCAAATCCAGTGGTACACGAAGGTTACGGACTTCAAGCCCAAATGATCCATATAGCGCACCAAGTCCTTCCAAGTGTGGACCACGCGCTTGATGGTGGCAGCCTCAGTGCGAGCGCAGAGCTTCTCCAAGCGGGAGGACCAATTTGCCATGTACTCCTCGTGTCGGGCCGGTGGAGGTGGCATCAGCGTCACCATGATGCCCAACAAATCTCGAATAAACAAGGCAGCGACTCCGCCTTTCGCACCGGTCAGCTGGGCTGGCTTCTTCTTTGGCTTGACAGGCCCAGCAAACGAAGACGGCTTTGGACGTGCCACCGAAGACGAAGGCGGTGAAGTAGCCGGAATACTGGAAGGTTGTGGCGGGCGAGACTGACGAACTGTCTCTCTCGCAAGAATGTTCCGAACCAGGGCTGCCATCCCCGGTTCGCTCTCACGGCGAGCGAGATCCCACCCGTCCGCCACGGCTCGGCCAGCTTCACGAAGTGCTTCCTCGTAGGAGGTGAACCAAAAGGCCAAGTCGCTGGCACTCTGAACACCCACCTTGGCACACCAGGTGTTCAGCTTCTCCTGCTCAACTGCGCGTCGAGCATTTGCGTCAGCCATGGCTCACACAAAAAATATCTTGAGAATCAGCGACACTGATTCACTTGGAGCGACACTCCTTTTTGGCTTGAGCCTCAAGCTGAAAAGGAGTGAGTGAACTGAATGACATCAAATAATTCCTCATCACCGACCCTGCCTACCTTGAATGAATGAATATAAGCTATAATATAGCGAAACAAAGTAGTGCTTTTTTGGTGGAATCCCGGGTAGTGCAGGATAGAACGTGCATCAGTTTTCCGCCTCTTCGTCAGCCCAAACAATTCATCAGCTAGAAGACGAAATACTCACGTCGGGGCGCCCTCAGTCCAGCCAAACCGGACTTCAAACAGGTGGAAAGCAACCACGAGTATCGCATCTTCCTTTGATGGATTCTTGGTTTATGTCTTGCAACAGGTACGTTCAAGACGGAGTTTAACCTCACCGACCCACCCACGGCGCCGGCCTCATGCAAAGAGACTCGTACGGCAGGCGTGGTCGGCGCATGGCCAAAGGTACATTGGTAACTCTCCTGCTAGCTCTGAACAGATCGACTCTTCAAACATATATAGCAAATCCACACACTGTCCACAGGTGCATGTGCATGGTCCTCTGAAAATCCGAGGCATCGATCTGAGATCGATGATCTCTGCTTCATCCGATGGATTTCAATGCAGCGATGTCACTCCTAGTCCCCTAACATGGCCTTTTAGGGCGAGTCCAGGACCAACGACTTCAACCATGTTTGAACTCGACTCGTGAACACTTCTTCGCGTGATCTTTTCCTCCCATGCTTCACCATTGCAAGCTGACATCACCTGACCCACGCAACCCATCGGTCCTCCAAAGGCAAGATGCGACTGCCCTTCACGGAGATCTGCCAAAAGCCACCCCGAGGAGCCTCGATCGAGACCCAGACCGGATGACGAGCCGGGGTCCGGGGGCCGAGCTCCGGCGTTTTCGTTTGCCCCGCCGCGTCTTGGACATAAGCTTAAGTATGCTTAAATAGAACCACCCAAGGACTGACCATGTCTGTCTTCAGCTTACTGGGCTCCCAACCCAAGCTGGCTCCAGGTCATAGATGGCAAAGGAAGGGAAGACCTGGGAGCCACGCTCGCAGGTCCAAAGCGCTACCTCCAAACCGCGGAGGGTTTGAAGACAGCTGGTCCAGTCTGACTGGTGTTCTGTCCAGGGGGTTGGTGAAGAACTCAGACGGAGTGGTGATTTTGGAACGCATCCTCCGGTGAAATGAGGTCCAAACTGACCTACTAACTGAGGAAGAGATATGAAGGTGTCGACGGCCACCGCCCCAAATGGCGAAGACTGAACGCCAAGGACCAAATGCTTGGTGTGAGCTTCAGAACCAGGCACGATCCACACCTCCCCTGTCGATTTCGGTCTGGCCCGGTGCCACTGGAACTCGACCGGAACCGCGGCCGGCCAGCGCTTCGTGAACAAAAAGGAACAGGGATGAACAGGGTCTTTCATCCACGACGTGCCAGTTTTGCCCTCAGTTTGCTCTGACACTTGGCCCATGTGTAGCAGCTATCAACTTCACCCGTCACTTCACCACCCGCCAAGTGACAGTGAGATTCAGCCACGGCTCCCCTGGCGGAATGCCATAGCGGGCCTGGAGCGCTCGTACGAGGCCTGGCCTGACTGTAGGGATAGCTGGATGCCCAGTGGTGGTACCCACTGGTGCCTATGATTTGCAAGCCCTTGAACGCACACATCATTACTTCCTTTTGGGCATACATGGCATACACCGATCACCCGTTGTTTCTTTGTCTTCGCACCAAGAACAAGGCCGATCCCTGGAACCTCTCAGAAACCCAGCGAAACGAGAAACATGATTCAACCAACTCCAACCCGCTCCAACTTTGGGTATATGATCCCACCAGTCACAGTGGATGATCACAATGCCTATCGTTACTAGGCCTCGGCCTCCCTATGGTGATAACATGTTTACCATCTTTTACCAACCTTTCCTTCGTAATGGGATCAACGTCCAGAACTCCAGGCGGCGCGGCGTTACAGCCCATTCTGCTTACTATTCGGCTTTCTCCATGCTCCGCCATGTTTCGTGGATGTATCCTCTTTCGCCTGGCAGGCGTCTCCCATGTCAGTCGTTTGGGCCCATGCCGCCTCAAAGGTGGAAGATCCTTGGGTAAAGAAGAGCTGCACGGCATGCGTGGCCGGCGGCAAATCCAGAGGTACCTCACTCCGCGGATTCGATTCGATAGACCGGCGCGGGCCCGATGTGCGGGTAGGGCCCGATGCGCGGGGCCCGCAAAGGCGGGGTGGGACAAGACGGTGGAAACGCATGGAGGAAGGCAAGGCAGTGCGGGGGTTGCTTGGCATATCACTAAATCGTAAATTTGATGCCAACAAAAACATACAAAAACTACAATGGATCTGGGTGATACTGTGATACCAAGAGCTTCCGGACATGGTGCTTAGCCGGAGCAGCTCAGAGCACGCTCTCACAAGCACCGATCCACATGGATTGAAGAACGACGGGAATGACGTTCGCCTCCGAACTCTGAACCCTGCGATTTCGCCCGGCGCACTTGGCACTGGATTTCTCGCTGTGAGATGTAGACCTGGGGCACATCTCAGCGCAGTTCGGGCATCCACGCAGACTCTACGCGATCCACCCCCAAAAAGAAACATAGAACATCAGTAGAACATCTATGAACATCTAACAAAAAACTATCTTTCCCAACCCTGTATGGCATGGTTTTAGGGGTCAATGTGTACATATGCCAGTCCCATGGAGGGTCTGGGCAAGCAAACAAAAACGATCTTTCCTCTCTAAGCTCGCCGCTGCAGTGGCCGTCCGGACGCCTGTGGTCGACCGAGAGATCTCGCGCGGTCGGGAGGTCTAATTACGGGTCTTCTCTTGGGTGGTCTGTATCGATTGGACGACCGATTTTTCACCCATTGATTTGAAGTAGCATGGGTGTGGGGCATTTTAGTATGGGTGTGACCCCCATGACACCCTGGCTCTGGCTGGGTAGACTGGTCGATGTTCCTTCCGAAACATGTCCGAATCCACCGGTGACTGGGGTTCCCCCCCTCGAAGCCCTCAGAAAATGCACGAAAAAACACACATATATATCAATAGCAGTGAGAATCAGCCTGACTGAGAGACAGAGCAAAAGAAACTGATCACTCAAACAATTGGCCGCTCATATTTCTTCATATTTCTTCCAACACTGACTCAATCAATCAGATCCTGACAGAAACAACGGCAGCACTGCGCGCCTGTGTCGTTGGTCAGGTTATAGGGGAACGTCACATTCCTCATTTGACAACATTCATTTTCTCAACTGTGAATCAACCAGTTCAGCTGGGAATTTGTGACGGTCAAGAGCAAGTGAAACAGGGCATCAGTCACTCCTCGACTAATTAGATGTGTTATTTAATAGACGTCATTGCATTACACTTGCACCATATATACAAAAGGAAAACAACATGAAAGTGGAGCACTTTCGTTTCAACAAGACATAACGGTCGACCCATCTTGAAAAAAGTCCGGCCGCGTCAAACGAAACTGGATCAGAGCACCATTCTCTTCAGGCGACCTGTTCTTTTCGGTCTCGGCATCGGTCGGCGTCGACCGAGCAGCGGGACGTCGCGAACGGCGACGTCGCGACTCTGGGACGTCCAACCAGGAGAACGTGCAGTAGCCAAAGGCTGGTGCAAGCCTCGCCGACGGTTTGAGTCAATGGTTGCTGAAAAACCTCCGAAAGAAGGGACGTACGATCTGAACGTCGTATCAGATTCACATCACATTGCGCAATGAAGAGATACGAGACGCAGCTCTTTTGAAGACAACATGCACAGAACCCCCCAAAAAGCCTTCAAAATCACATCAAAAACATCAAAAACACAGCATTTTTGCGCTGGCGGACATTGCCAACCTGCTGGGTCCAACCAGCCGTTGGGACCCCGGACTGGCGCAGCGCCATGAAGTCACCACCATAGAGTGAAATCGTCTCACCTGGCAGCGTCGGACCGAGGGAATTCTTTGTTGGATTCTCAGGGTGGGTCCGTCTGTGCCACGACGGTGCTAGATCTGCTGTTTTTCCGGTGCGAAGTCAGGTGCTAAGTGAAGAAGAACTGCTAGCTCTCTCGATGAAAAGGCTCTGGACGCTGCCCCCCAAATCTCTTTTTGCTTTAAATCTAGAAGCATCGACATCATGTGCCCCTTTCCAAGTCCCATCGAAGGAGAAAAATACCGCCGTCAGGCCGCTCTGGCCCCCCATCCACCGAACAAGACATAGATTCCAGGCCTCGACCGACCAAGACGCTGGTGGGTGCCAACAAAGCCGCCAATGGACCGCTTCCACGATGAAGGATCGTCTGGGCGATTGCGATTGCGCACGATCCTTTTTGATTTCCCTTAGGATTGTTAGGGGCTTGGGTGTTAGGGGCTTGGGTAATCAGTGCACGATCTTTAGATATTGTTAGGGGGAAGGATCACGGGGAACGAACCCATGTAAGAACATGTTATGGAGGGTCAAAAGATCTTCATCATGAGAATACAAGTGAGAAACAAACGTGCAGCATCATCTTATGACATCAATCAGCTCCAAGTCATAACTTGCAACTCTGACCCCTACATGTCACTGAGCTCCTACAACTGGAATCCTGAAAAGCCTAATGCACCAAAGTCCACAATCGAACCATGTGAATGATATTGAATGATTATATATGATTATCACATTCCTCGTCCCGGACCCCAAACAACCAGAAACCACCCTTCCAAACAACACGAGTCTCTCAGTCAAGTCTTCAAAAGACTCCCAACCGTGTAAAAAGCCTCCCAACCAACCGGGCGCCCCTGCGAAGGCCAAGCCCTCAGCAGCCACGGGATGAAAGTTCCTGCCGACCACGCGGAAAGAGTCGGGCCAGCCTGGGGCCAGCTTCGATTCGTGATCCATTCATTTAGGTTGGAGGTCATCGCTAGTGGGGTAGGCCATCGCTATTAGCTTGGAGGCCATCGCCATGAAGAGCGATGGTCTCCAACCTAACAGCAATGGCCTCCAAACTACCAGGAGGGCCTACTAGGTATTGATATATTTATTCTTCAGGACTGAAAAAAGGACTGAACAAAACAGTGGAACATTGATGGTTGAACTGATCTAGGGACCATGTTCACCATCGTCTTACATCCTTGAAAAAAGATCCTTAATCTTACAGTACACTAATTAAGTTTGAAGTATAGTATCTTGGCCATTTATCAGCTGCGCTGCAGTCTTCAGCAGTTGAGACCCAACCGAAGCAAAGATAAGGGCAGTAGGAGAGAGCGAAACAATGCGCAGTCTCGTTGAAACCCGTGCAAACACCTAGAGTCAAAGAAAATTAAGTGAAAGCAAGCCTCCAACTGAGAAGTCTCTTCTCGAAACAACGTGCTCCTTTTCAATGTGAACCCAAGACCTTCCCCATATATACGTAAGCATCTTGAGGCATTGCTCATTGCAAGCATGTTCAAAAACCCATCACCAATGGCCGTGCGCGGGTTTCACGTGGGAAACGTGCCTGCCATTGTCAAAGGAGATGCTGGAGAGATGATCCACTGAGCCCAAAGGTCCCCTGAGACATCGCAGAAGAAGCGAAAGGATGAGATGAGGGTTTGGAGGGCCGAACATGGAGTCCATTTTTTTGGTTGATTTTTGACCGCAAGGACAGAAAACAAATCTCATGAAGATTGATCTGAGGTCTGTAGCATTTGCAGTGGGGACCGGATGTCATTCTATTTGGGAACCAGGTATGTCCAACTGACTGCTCCGTGCTTCCTGGAATCCCGCACGACAACCCGTTTCGCAGGACCACCTCCCAAGCCAAACTCAAACCATTTGGAGGTGTTTGGCAGAATGCTTAGAATGATACACAAGAACCCCAAGTCTCCTAAGTGGCAACATATCGGTGTGCTTGTTCCGTGTATAGATTCAATGGTACGTGGAGTCTCTTTTGGCACCGTCTTGGACCAACAACCCAGCTTTGAAACCAGCCAACGTTCACCAGCCACAAGGAGATCTGACGTCAGCACCGCTGGCGGCCGTCTGCCGTGTCCCGCATCCCTCTCCCCCGCGACGTCGCTCCGGCTGAGACGCCGGGCGTCAGTTGAATGATGGGCAGCTGATTGGGGGAGAAGCACCGGAGCTCCGTATCTGGCGGTCGGTCTGGCGTCAGCGTCTCCTCTCTCGAAAGGTACTGATAGCCACGCTAGTAACAAGTGCCACGCTTCTAGGAACAAGTGCCTTACTAGTAATAATGTTCGCTACTAGGAGCAAAGGGCATCAGGCGTATATACTGCTCGGGTTTTTGCGCACAGATCCGGAGCGCGCGAGGATCGATCGGAGCGCGCGAGGATCGATCGGCGCGCGCGCTTCTGTGAAGGACTGGACCCGGTCGGACCAAGAGAATCGGCGATGATGGCCTTTTTCAAGGAGCCCGTCCAAGTGGTGATCCGGAAGCTGAATGCAAAGTGATTGCAAGTGAAGATGTCTTACTTTTCGAGCGTGAAAAACCTCTCAAATGCCAGTCACCATATAAAGCTAAACAAAACACATCCTATACCAGAAGCCCCTGTCCGAGTGGTTAATGGACATCCCTTGACCCCTTTTCGGGGCTATTCATGGACAACCGGAATCCGTGGTGCTATATAACTCCATGTTTTGGGTGCAATCAATCCGACTCGACCCAGCGAAACATCCGGCCTGACAGCAAGATTCCCGCTGTCACCACTCGCGTGAGAGACCAGAAGCACTGCACTTGCGACCTCAGATGCGAGTCGTGCACATGGCATGAGCCGGGTGGAACTCGCATGTGCGAACTCGCACCTGGAGTCTATGGGTACCAGATGGTACAGTCGTAGCTGTTCATCTGCCGGCGATGGAGTGAGAAGTCTTCTGTCGAGGCGAGATGGAGCGAGTGAGCGAAAACAGTGGCAGGCAACGGAAGGGGGCAACCCTCTGAAAGCGAACCAAATTGTGTGTTGTAAGACTTTTGGGGGGGCCGGGTACGTATTAGCATGTCAATTATAAACGTTTGTACATGTCAAGGCCCTGTAATGCAACCACCTTCAACCCGCGCCCCCAGTACTGGCGCCCAAAAGGCGCATTGGCGATGCCCATGGGGAAGTTGCGACCCTGGCAAGATCGGATCTTCTGATCGAGGGACAACATGCCTTCCAAGGCAGCCGCCTTGTTCAATGTCCCTTATATGGTGGCCATCCGCTGGTCATCTAATGATTTCATGCAAACTACATCGTCTTTAAATAACAAACATCCTGAAATACAGCTTCAATCTTACAACAACATAAATGGTTTAAACAAGAACAAACTTCAGGAATATAGGTTTGGATGTTCTTGGAAGCGCGATGCATGGAACATTCTGCTTTGTTCTCTTGCAAAGCAACGCACGTGTAATATTGATGTTTCATCTCATTCCTGTGACGTCTGGATAGATTTGCAATATTTTATAAGCTGTATACTCTGTACTCTATGTCCCCTAGAAGTCCAAAGACTATATGTTGACCGACTGAAGTAGAGAACATTCTTTTTCGGGTCCCCTACAGACCATCCATTTGTAGTCTTTGACTCCCAGGATATCATTAAGCTGTGACTTGTCTCATCCCATGAGTGCGAAGTCTTGAACATGCTGACTTGTCCCCATCCCACACATTCTGAAATGAAGTAAACCATCCCATGAATGTGCCGGCAACCCTCCCAAATCCGGCTCTGAAACTGCGTTCGTCCCGCCCGGCGGAAGATCCATACGCGGAACAGCGCGTTCTTCGCACCTTGACAGTGAGTGGCAGGTTCAATGAACCAAAGTTGGGCACCAAACGGTTGAAGCTGGGAGTCCTTGGCGGGGAATCCGGAGGCGATCACAAGTCACCGGTTTCCAAGCATATACACGTGCTACAAAGAGACCATGAAATGGGGTGCTTCAAGGTAGTTGTGGAAGCAAATGTGCCTGTGATTCCCGGTAGCATCATAACTTGAGAGGAGGGAGACACGAAAGGTAGGACAGCGGGAAGAGAAGAGAACGCAAGAGGCAGGAACAAAAATGCAATGTTCGACATGGTGATTTATCCCCTCGGAGGCGACCTTTCGTAAATATAATTTCATATGCACTCTAAATGTTCAAACATATGCTCTCGAAATGTTCAAACATATTCTTAGGAAAACAAACTTGCCCTATGGCTCAGATCATCGGTGAGCATTGAATCGGAGCATCATAGGATTTGAACTATCCTGAAACCATAAGAGGCTCACGAAGACGTTCCCCAGGAGAGAATAGACGTGCTTCACAAAACAAACTCTATGTATCCCCTCGGGGAATACCTTTCGTTATTAGAATTTCATATGCACTCTTTCTGAATGTTCAAGAGGGTTTCAACTATCCTGAAATCATGAGAGGCTCACGAAGACGTTCTCCAGGAGAGAATTGAATTTAGAGGGGGGGGGTCGGTATTGAAAAATAAATTCCCCGGGGGCCGGGGGGGGGTCTGTATTGAGAAATCAATTCGAAGGGGTGGGTGGGGGGGGTTGAATTGAACTATCAATTATTAGACCCGGACGCGCCGACACGTGCTTCGCAAGACAAACTCTAGGTATCCCCTTAGGGGCTACCTTTCGTGACAAATAAGTTCATATATTAAATATATATAAGATATCCATTGTACGGTCTTTTCCATGTATACCGGGTACTCCGTCTCCGACCTCTCGGAACTCGAAAGCACAAAGCACCTTCACGTCTGACCCCACAAAAAGCTGGTCGGGCCCAGAGTCCTTGTGTACATGAAGCTGGTAGCTGCAGAAGTCAAAAGCCGTGGATCCCCCGTGCCTTGCAGTGTTCGCGGAGGCAGCCGTTTGGTGCCGCTCAACGAGTGCAGTTTTCGGCGAGTTCAATGGGTAGGGGTATGTCAGGAGCCTTTTGTTGGCAGTGAGCTGCGCTGGTTGTCTTCTGATTTTTCTTCAAACACTGTGGTTTGGAAGAAGAAACCCCTAATGTTGGATCCTGAATAGCAAAAGGGACTCCTGCCCCTCCTCTAAACAAAATCAGGGTTCCTGGGAGTATTCCTTTTGTAATTGAAGTATTCTTTTTTCTTTCTCAGGTTCTTTATAATCTGATATTCTCAGCAATCCTTTCAATACTATAAGAAGAGGACAAAGAAGGTTCTCAGGTTCTCTGCGGCTTTGAAGAAGAACTAGAGAAACCTATACCAGTATATCAATAATCTCAGCAGGCCAGTCATTGACTTAGTATTCACAGGTCTCCGAAGGGTTTGAAACCCAAATTACTTTTCAGACACTATAAGGATCCTTTTACTAATCAGGATCCAACATAACAAATGCTCGCTCCACAGCCTCAACCCGACCTGCCACGCGATCGACTCATCCCCGTCCCGGACTCGTTGGACGGACTCGACTCCTGCGAGGACGGAGCGAGGCCCACACCACCTGACCGACGGCCCACCGAGGCTCCAAGCGTCCAGAGATGGGAGCCAACGTGAGGCGGAAACCGATCTCGGGGCTGTTGCCTCCCAGCCGCGCCAAGGTGCGGGGGCGAAGCGGCGAGAGCGACGCGAGGAACGGTTCTGAGTGGAGTTCCTCGCGAGCGGAGCTTTAGACCGCCATGGCGCCTACCTCCAGGAACCTGAACACATTTGATGCTTTAACATGGATCTAAAACCAAAAAACGATGAAACCAACGGTCTTCTGTTTGAATGACTGGTTGCTCTTCGCGTTTCCGGAATCAAAAACGCTCCCAACCCTTGGAACTCGCGATCGTCCACCAGACACTGTCAAGTAGTACGGGTTCCGCATGCGCATGTCGACCGGGTTTGCTGGTCGCCTCCGGGATCGGCGCTGCCGGCACGTCGGAGAGAGAAGCTCTTCACCTGCTGGCCGGCGCATCGGTGGAACGAAGCGACGGCGCCGGGATGATGGAGCAACCGGTGAGTCCAAAAAAGCAGTTGAGGGGAGGGGGGATTTATAATTGGGGTTTATAATGACGTGAAACGGCAGTTTCGCGAACTTTTCCAGGTTGATATGACACATGTTTCTTTCGATGTGTTCCTCAGTTTCTTCTTACTTTCCAACGGATTGGTTCTGTTTTCTCATCACAGTCGATCCAAATCTCCTCAACCTTGGGCTGCTCCAACTCCACTAACTCCAAGCTTCACATCCGCTTCGGCGAGGTTGACAGGACACACACACACGACCTCTCTCAGACATGCAGGGCCGTTCCTCCTGTGAGCACCCGCCACCTGAGGGCCCCTGCTGGCTGGTCGGCGACACAAAGAACATCGTTGCTGCTTAAGAAGATGGCCTGCTGCAGGTCGGCGCAGTGACACACAGGTCCATCGAACCCGTACCGGACCTGAGAAGTCTCCGATGCATCGGAGATGATGCCCTCAGTTACTACGTAACAAAGGGCATCGCTACTATGGTATTACTACAAGAAGCTTATAGTAGTGATGCACTTGTTACTATATAGTATACCTTCTAGCTACTATAACGGCCCCCTATATACGTGTCATATATGTTATGCATGCATTCAGTTCAACATCATTCGACCCTTCCACGGAGACCTTTGTTCATGGCGTTCACAACGACCATTTCAGTGGAAAACATGGAAATTCGATCGAATGCCTTCCCCTCCGTGCCACGACATCCTTTTTCCTCCTTCGCGCCCTTGGTGGTCTGAAACTCGACGCGACGTCTGTCAAGGTCGCTCTCCTGCGCGGCGGACGGCAGCTGAAACCAGACGGGTTTACGCTGAAACGAAGCGAAGAATCGAAAGAAAAGCGTTGAGCACCCGGTGTTCGCTGAAAAAGGAGGATTCTTCTTTGGCGCGGAATGAAGGCACTTCTTTTTTCTTTCATGTTCCTTCCTTTTTTCGTGGACCATCCAAACCCCGGGCTACGGGGATGCGGCAAGCGGAGCTGCTTCTGCGAATGGCACTCGAAAGGTCAAAACAAATCCCAAAGACTTCATGAGACTGGAAAATACGCTGGCAATTCACTTTTGAAGGGAGGTCAGTATTGCAGTCCCATTAGTCCTTTTTGTGGAGTGTGAAACCACAAAGACTCCAAGATTTCTGGGCTCCAGATCTCGTGAATGTAATCCCTGCAAGGTCGGTATATAGACGTGCTGCCTCCGAGTTGGCGGAGTGTTTTTTGCGCTTGAAAACCCCCTAAACCCAAAACACTCCGCTCTTAGTTGGAAGCGTCTCCATCTCCTGCAAGTAGAGAGCCACCAGCTAGTGGCTTTCGTAGCTTAGTGCTCTTTGGAGTTTTCGGCATTCTCGTCCTCAAATGCTTCATCGAACCTGAAAGGGCCGTTCTCCATTTCTGGAGTTCTGCTCCGTATTTCATCTCTCTTTCCGCACCAACGACTTCTTCTAAGTCGTAATCTCGCGATCTAAAGGCCCACCCTTCTTTTCGATCCATTTTGGGGTCACGGGATTGGTAAGAGTTATCTTGCCGTAAACTCCACTCACAACAAAGGGAACTCTGGACGGAGTTGAGGTATCTCTTGGCTCTCTCCCACCCTTATCCTGAGCATGGAACCACAAACAACCAAATGAACAAGGATCAAACAAAGTTCTTTCCTCTTGGGTCAATCTCGACATGGCACAAGCACTTCCGGTGGCACGCGCTCTCAGCGGCGGAGATGAAGGATTGTCGCCATGAATAGCAATTGGTTTGAAAGCCTCAATCCACGTGAGATGAAGGAGGTGATGGAGGGCAGCGGGGGGGGCCCTTTTGGGCCAAGAGTCAACTTGATTACGTCTTGGCTTGACCAGCACCACCCAGTTTGGGTGATTATCGGATGGACAATGACAAAATTAAGTATAATGTATACAAGGGCACTTACAAGGGCCTGGATATCAGATTTAAAACGGTAGGTTTGCGCGCGCCCCTGGCGATTCTTTTGCGATGGCTTTCAACCTGGCTGTGGGTCAAAAACCCGATCCCCAAACCAAATAGCCCGGTTGACCTCCTTAGTACTAGTCCATTCAGTTCATTTTCTCTGGTCAACCGGGCTCTAGCCCGGTTTTGAGCCACACCCACCAGACCTTAAGACTGCCGGGTCCCAAGCCACACGGTTGCTACCTGCTACTTAGTACGTGCACATGGGCTGAACGTGGCTGTCAAGTGTACTTTGATCTGTCAACCTCCCACCTTCAACCTGGCCTCGTGAGCTACGGCTAAATGGTCGTAATCCCTGCTAAACCATCCATTTGGGGGTTTGGTCGTAGCTCATGAAACCGAATGGGTCAGAAACAGGAATGTTGATGAACAAGGCCCACCATATGCAGATCTATTTGCCCTCCAAATGGGGGAGGTTCTTAATCAACAGTCTACAGTCTGCATGATGACAACAAACAAACTCAAACCCGGAATCCGCCGGGACCTTGGACATCTGTGGAATGTCCCTTCACGCCAATAAGTTGTTGACTTGGACTCACCCTGACCATCCATGGGACGGTGCATTTTCTTTGTACCGATCGATCAGTTGAGTTGGTGTTTTGGGGGGGTCCCATGGATGGTCCGCTTCGACCTCAATGGCCCACCTGCCAGGGCACTTTTCTCCTGGCACACGATGCATTGACCCCAATCGCCATTTGCGGTGAGAGCACATCGTGCACCATGCACACACCAGTCTTGCGAGTAACCTGAGTCAGGTTAAGTGATGTGGTTCCAACAACTGGCACGACCTTCCGCATTGCGACGGAAGGGGATCACCGATGTTGCAAGCCACGATTCTCAATAAGGCGGTGTTCGAATCATTCTACTACTTAAGCACAAGCTAGGCCATCACTCTCTCCCAGCTCTCAAACAACATCCCAGCTTGAGGATCTCTTTTGATCTTGGGTGGCGCCGCCAAGAAAGCTGGACCATGCTATACCCAACTAGGCCTGCAGGAGGTAGACCGTGACACTCCTAAAAACCCTTGACCGGAGGAAATCATGATCAAATCATGCGGACAGTTGCATGCCGCACTTTGCGCCAAAGATTGCATGATCAACATGTGGTACAAGCTGTCCTATAACCACAAGAAACCGATACCCTGCAGAGGTCTCACCTAAAAGGAACATTCAGTGACTCCAAAAATAGAGCTTCAGAAACTCATGATCCTGAAACCGGATTTCTAGAACCGCTTAGGGGGGCGGATCAAAGCGGAACATGTCTGAATCAAAGGGAATCAACACTCATGATAGACCAACAAAAATTATCTGTTTCTTCCAAGCGGCATCTGGTGTTTGGGCAATTGAAGTGAGTGGCTCGGATTGCTGCAAGCCGAAAATCGTCCTCCCAAATCACGCACTGCTTTTCGAAGGCGTCCTGCGCCGCGGAAAAGGAACACGAGCGGCACATCGTCATGCACATCGCGGGTCGGGTCCCGAGACGAGCGGCTCGGGAGGATGGTACCGGGCCTCGGCACCAGGAGTTCAAGAGTGGCAAGTTCTGTCTGTGCTCTGTCTGTGTGCTCTTCTGTCTCATCCACTGGATGAGTGAAAAAGAACATGAAAATCCGGTCATCTTTCACTGCTCGGTGAAATAGAATGGAACATGCCACACCGGTTCCATGGGACGCCAAACTCAGCAAGGTTGGACCGTCTTCTTCCACAGTTGAAGGACATAATAGCCATATAGTGACCATAGCCGCCTATAGGGTCACCCTAGAGATTCACATGCCCTCAGAGGGCAATGGATCCCCACTTTAAAATTGTATTGGAAAACCACTGTAAAACGGATCTTTCTGTGGACCACTATGAGAAAATGGGGCATGACTCATGACCCATTTTCTTAAGAGGTACGACTGTAGTTCTACGAAGGGGTCGACTCCAGGTATCCCCAAACTCGACCACTTCAAAGGACCTCGCCCAGCCTTCTTTGCCGCGCCAAACTCGACGAACGCGAACTCTAACTTCGAATGGCCCCCAGCATCCGGGCCTGGGCGAGGGGCACACACTGCGCCCAACTGCCGTCTGGCTTGCTGACGCAAATGCTTCCCATCGCACAGTCCTCGGTCGAAAGCAGCTCCGCGCGTGTTCGATGCGAGTTCGACGCAATGGAATGACGTGGTTCTGAGAGCGCCGAGCTGGAAGTGGTGCCCTTCAATTAGTATGTTCCGCCTTGGGTGAACTGTCAGACATGATTGTGAAAGTGCCCTGCGAGCCGTCCATTGTCACGAAGATCGCCTGAAATGTTCTTTTCGTTGACCCTATCCACAGCAGTGCTGCCAAAGGTCCTGATCCCATTCACACTTGACGGAGTCACAAAGGATTTTGGTGGCTTTGATGGCGGCGATGCGCATCTTCCGATCCCAAAAGCGACATTCACTCCTGGGTTTGCTCACAAAGACACATGGTGAGTGGGTAGTAGTGGATTCAATATAAATGATCCCCTATACTACGTAGATTAAGTTGAAAAATGTTGAATCTGAAACCACCACCCGGATTCTGAAAGGTCTTGTCATCCAAGGGCACACATTGACTCCAGGTCTTATCCTCCTTGAAGACACAGGTGCGATTGGCTTCACACATGCTGCTGTCTTCACAGCGGGTGACCTTGGGATCAGTCACCTCGCTCTCAGCCTCAGCGCTGGCGCTGGCGGCGCTGCTGTTGGTGTCATTCGCTCGGCTTGACGGCGTGCTGTTGCTGTCGTTGGAGGGACGACGGTGCATCTGTAGGACACTCAGCGCACAAGGCTCGCCGGGAGAGGCACATTCATCGTCCACATCTACACCATAGGCGCTGACAAGGCCGGCCAGGCACAACCGAAGTAGTAGGCGCATTGGTTTCTTTTTTCGTTATGAACAGCGGGTGGCACTTCTTCACGGGCTGTTGAGCCCCAAGGTGCCTCTCGAGCCAAGATCGATACAGTGATCCATGTCTGAAGGGCTGCGGCTACTTACTTCACACACATTCATACACATTCGGTGGGCGTATAGCCAAGAGTTTCCGTCTCCACATCTCCCCAAACTACATCAGCATTTTGAAACACACCACGCAGCAGCGCTCCGAACTGCGCTCCGAACGGTCCGTTCCAGCTGGCCTCCGAACGGCTCTCGGTGCCCAAGCCAAAGAGACATCCCAGCGTCGCCACGCGCGGCAAGGACGAGGCAGTCGTCACCTGGTCCGGAGCGCATCGGCACCGGAGAGCATCGAGTGGTTTCGCATATGGGACGTTGGGAGAGAAGGGTTGGCAAAGTTGGACGTGTTCAGAGCTGTTTTCATGGACTTGATGAAAAAGACGGAAAGGGAATTTGCTACGGTGGAATCTATTGTTGGTCGGTGCCTGAGTTGAGATCTCATGAACTTCTCATGATCTCGTGGCAACTTTGAGAGGTCTTTCGAGCTGCTTTCCAACCGAATCACACATCACACCATCACACAAACGAAAACGCCAACGCCGATACGGCCGATACTTGTCCTAACCTGCCTCCGCCCCCAACGGCAACCCGGACTCCGACTCCGTCGTCGGCCTGGACGGCGTTGCCCGTGGGCACCCCGAAGCTCGGTGCCAAGGTCACCTGGCGCAGCTCCAGGGCTGAGACGATGTAGACCTCGCGGCCGCGAAGGCGGCGGCTTCAGTGAAGGACGGTGCGGTCGGACCGCGGTGCTCGGTGACGAGGGCGAAGCGAAGCCGCCGGCGGGGTTTTCCAAGTGAAGGGGTGCGAAGCCAAGCAACGTGGAGACTTTGGGTGATCTGGTGATGTCTAGCTAGTCCATCTCGTTTTAGGAAGGATACGGGAGACCTGGGATGGGAGGGATGAGGGACCTATACCTAGATCATCAGTCCGGGGTCCGGCGCCGGACTTCCAACTCCGGCGTTTTTCTGGATTTGGTCCGGCGGTTTTTCCAAGTCACTTTATGTAGATTCTCAAGGCTTTGCATTCTTTGTGGTCCGCATTTCTTTGAAGGTAAACCCACTACGGATGCAAAGTGTGCTCGTTTGCCTGTTCCGCTGTTTTCTCATTCCACCGGCTTCAGCATGGTTCACACTGGATCAATCAGATCCGTTTAGGTTTGTGTCCACCGGAGGTGGCTTTATTCTAGAAAACCTAGAACTTGA